TACATACCTGATTGAAAATAATGAGAGGAGTCACATCACAGCTCGGGAAAATTAGAGAGAGAGAGATATAGAGGCAGAGCTGAAACCACCAGCAGGGTAATCAAATCGATTACCCTTCTGCGGCTGCCACCCTGGCACTCACCTCAGATGCCCTCTCCTCCATCTCTCCGCTTCCCATCGTGCAGAGTAACACTCCCCCCTGTAGGATGAAAGCAAGACTTCAACTCAGTACCTCAAACGCCTGGCTGCTTCCCATGAAGGCTTCTGAGGTGAGTAAACGGCCACGTGACTGGACTCTTTAGATTTTTTTCATTTTAAGAGGAAACAAATTAAGATTTCTGCGGTGAGTTAAAGATCAGGAGACAGTGCCTGTTTCATATCTCACAGTAAGTCACAGTTCTTTCCAATTCTAGCTTATTTTTTACATAAACTTTGAAGACAAACACATTTCTTTGTAAATACATCACTGTTTTTGCACATTTGACAAACAAGTAGAGATTTTGTTTATACATTTTATTAATAGGGAATAGCTAAGAGAAAATCATGAGAATACTGAAAGCCTTTGAACTAAATGTCAGAGTTGTTCATATGTAAAGTCAGTTAGAGTATATTTCATTTTAACTGTTTCTTTTATGCAATTTCTCACCTGATAGGCTCAGATTATGACCATCCTGGCAGCCATAACACCAGCTCTGCCAGATTAAAAAGTCCTCATTTAATTTTTCACCTGATAGGCTCAGAGTAAATTGCTTTTGTTTTGTCAAACAAGAAGGAACTAACAACAGTGTGATTTCCGTGATATTATGACCATCCTATCCAAAGTTACCGAGGGGGTGCCAAATCCGGCTGCTTTAACACCAGCTCTGCTCAGATTTAGAAGCCCTTGCAATTTTATTCATCATGAATCCAGAGTAAAAGGCTTTTTTGCAGTTTAATTCGCTCCATATGCTGCTTGCATGCAATCAAATATACCAGACTTTATATAAAAAGGAAGCAGATGTCTTGCACGACACTGCATAATGAGTCCAGAGATGATTTCTCAACATAACAACACAAAGATGTAACCATTCATACTGTATGTCCTCATAGGAACATACAGGTTTTTTCGACCCCACACGTGTTTCAGATCATTATCTGAAAGAATATGATTATATACGCCACTGGGTCTACCAAAATAAAGGTCAATTAAAATGTGAAAGATCTTTGATAAATCCTCCATCATGTAATTGCTTAGAAAATAATTTTACAGCTCTTCTAAAATAAGATGTATTTTATTAATTCCAATTTGGGAACTTTTTGTTGTTGCAGCGGCATAAAACAAAAAAAGGCATTGCACATAATAACAAATTAAAAGAGTAGAAATAAACCATTCTAAAATATAAACATCTCAAAATAGAAAAATAAAACAATTCTAGTCCTGTAGTTCTGTTGAATTAAAGATGACAACAGAAACAATATAGGTTGTGCCGAAATTGACTTTTGTAATCTAAGAATGTGATTCTAAGTATATATGGTTACAATCAGAGTCTCATTTTGGGCATCAGCAATCACTGTCAGATACAGGAATGTAGTTTGTCTGTAATATCTTCTTCAATACCTGCTGTGACCTTTGAAATTAAGGCAAATTCATAATCAAATATACTGAAAATTATACTAATGGTAGTATGCAATTTTATGGACCTTTTTTTCTGTACCACAAACTATCATGTGTTCTGCATAGTGATGAACCTTACCAGTGAATCCAGGAGAATATGCCTCCTCTTATTTGAAAAACCAATTGATATGGTATGCAGAAAAAAAAGGTTGGATGTAACTCGTTTTTTAAGGAGCCTCTTAAATGCAGCTGGGTTTCTAGGAAGCTCTAAAGAAGAACAGGTGAACACAGGTTAAATAAGGCTAATCGGCGAATCAGGTGGACAGACGGTCAGACAGAAACACAGACAGACAGACAATGCAACATTTTGGCTGAGCTGGCTGCTATACTGGCTTCCTGTGATGTTCCAGATGGTGGCAGGTTTTCCTTCCAGCAGCCTGTCAGACTTGGCTCGGAGCCACCTGTGAGTCAGGTAGGGCAAGTGAGGATAGCTTGGCAACAAAAAAACTGCGATACCCAAGCCGGAGATGCTGTGGGATTTGAGAAAGCAGCTCTGTACTGGATCAGTAAGAAGTCGTTTTGGGATTTGGTTGTATTTCCCGAACACGTCACACACGTACAACAAGAACGGCTAATTCAATGAAGCTAGACTAGAATTGTCTTTTTTTTTGTCTGTTCATTGTATACCTTTACAGTCTTTTAAGTCACACTAGAACCCCTGGCAGATTGCCAAATTGACATATGTAATGATTGTATGGCCTTGTTAATAATATAGCTGTCAAAAGGAAACAAACATCACATAAACCACTGAGCATTTGAGTTTAATGGCCACTTACTGTATATGTAGTGATGCAGTCTCTCGGTTTGAAGCTACCTGTCAGTGAACATGCTTTATAGGTCCCAAAGATAAACACTAAGGAAGGAAACAGAATGATGTGCTGTCTGCAAGTTCACTTTGGGTCATGGTTAATATGCGGAAAGATGGAGAGGCAGAAATTGCTTTGATAATCTTTCATCATCATCGAGGTCACGGCACATTCAAGCGTTTCAATCAGAGCAGAACGGCAGCTGCACTAACACAGCTGATTCCCCACCGGGCTACGTTAGCTCTTATAACTTTGGTGTTATTGTTATTATCATTATTTTTTTCATAATAGGTTTAGTATTGTTTAACTGTTGTTTGGTCACACTGAATAAGGTTAGGTGACCTCTGGTGAAAGTGTGACTGGATAGGACGACGAGGAGGATGTGAAATAAGCCGATGTCACGGTCAGATTACTGGTGGAGGTGCAGAAAGAGACACTGAGGCTCGGCTTGCTGGTATAGCAATGTGATTGGTGTCGAATAAGCAGGAAATAGGAAGTCAATTCTAGAGGATAACCAGAAAATGTAACATAAAAAGGTATTTCATTAAACTGATACTAGTAATTTCACTGCTAGACTCCCAGATGTGTATATATTCACACAGCAAAAGCCTCTGAGATTGGAGCACATTGCGTTCTTCTCGGTGCCTGCAACTGTACTGTAATTAATAGCAGAGCTCTAAAGAGTAACTTTGTAAAACTTCGTATTAACTCTTCATCAGAAGATGCAGTATTGATATACATAAGAGCATGGTAACTGTTATATTAACAACCTTCACTGTGATAAATACCATGATATTGTTATATCATGAGTCAGGAGGAATGCAAATAAACGTGCAACTAAGGCTAAATGTATCAAGTTCTTCAGTTAATTCTGTAACTGTCCTCCTCACAATAGACCACAGGGCGCCACAATGATAACTGTTGAGGACTAGTTTTGCTATGGTGTTTTTTGTAACACGTAATTGTTGATTTATTCATGGTTTTACAGACACTTGTTGCTGACATTTGTTGTGCTGCATGAGGACATCTCACAGGACTAAACATGTTCAAATACCATCAAAGTTTGGTTTCCCCTCCCTCCCTTACCTTCTATTGAAGCGGAAGTGAGCGTGGAAATACTTGTGCTTCAGGCCAACTGTGCATTTCAGGGATATTTCCGTCAGCAGTGTCAGGTAACAAGGCAACAGATTTTTTTGGATCAGAAATGTCTGGAAAAAAACTAACGTCATGCTTCCCTGAAATCCGCCCCTTCCTAAAAACAAACACTTGTTTACAGTTGGCACTGCTCACCAATTTTGTGACTCATGGCTTCTCCTTCACCTTGTGTAACACCTAGTTTTAATTCTCTCTCCGAATTGGGAGTTAAGCTACTACAGCCAACTGTTACCGAAGTACAAGGCCAATGCCATCGAAACAAAGTAACCCTCATTACTGAACCAGGAAGTAATCCATACAAGAGGATGACCCTTTTGTTTGTTCCTTCTGGGAAAAACCGAATTATTCTTCTCTACCCATTAACAAGCTTTGCACACTCAAATCACGTTCTCAAATCAAATCTGCTCATTGCAAAGAAGACCGTCTATTTTAATTATTTTAAACTCCACTAAATTGTTTCATGGAAATTAAAAGCTCTCTCCTGATGCAGGCAATTATTTAGAGTATGTATGCAGCAGTTTACTTGTATTGGTCATTTATAGGTCAATGACTGAAATATGACTCAACTCAAAATATGGCTTTAACTAATAATTATTTTCATTTAGAGCCCCAATCCAAAAGATATTCAGGTACTCTCATATCTGACGAAACCAAAAACAGCAAATGTTCCTATTCATGATGGCCTAACCAGGGAAATGTTGTTTTGTACACCAACTCAAGACAAATGAATCTTTAAGACTATAGTCACAGTGAATAGCAAAATAGTGTGTTATTGTATTCCCCAAGGGTTGGCGACATATTGGGGTTTTGTGTTTAGTTTCTCGCACTGAGACAACAATTGTCTAGCAGTGAACACTGATGACAAACATCTGCCCCAAAACACAAGACAGGCTCACTGTGTCAAACTTATTGAAATTATGTCAGATTGTGGGCTGCGGTCACATAAGACTTTCTCATTTAAGGGTGATGCTGGGAGCAAGCGAGACAGACATGGTCATTGCAGTGTGTTTGATTATTGTGATAAGTTTAGCTCTGAATACAGTCATAGATGGGAGAGTTGAATGCTTGAAGTGTGTTGTAGGTGTTATTTCTTTGCATTTTGATAATAGACTTCTGAATGTAAATTATTTTTCAGAACATCTGGCTCCCCCTTGTGGTCAAAGCAGCCCCCGACAAAGGTGGCACATTGATGGTGACATTACTTCTGTTTAATGTATTACACAAAATAAAATATTACCCTCATTGCTAAAACAAGCCGGCACCTGTGTTTCAGCAGATTGGCTGTGTTTTATATATACTAAAGTATGCAAGTATGTGTCAAAATAGGACTTTAAGATGTGCCCTTCCAGTCAAGTAAAGCCAAAATGGATGCATAGTTGAAAATATATATTCAAATAATCTCTTTATTTATACTATATAGTTGTACACCACTAAAGACAGTGATAGGAGCACACAACGGGCATGAACATTTGTCAGTTATATAGAGGAGGGAGGAAACTTTGCAGATTTGATAATAAAAATAAGAACATTTTCCAAATCCTTGTGTTGCTGAAAGTACATCTAAAAACAAAAAGTGGAGAAATAAGACGGTATGTGCCAGATTGACTTCTTTCACTTGCTATTGATGTTTTATTCTGTACAGAGGGACAATTTGTACAAAATTAATCTAGATATATAACACTACATGAAACAAGGTAAATCATATATACAATATTAAATGAATCATATAGTACAGGTCACATACAAAAGGACACTTTAAGTTATCATGTTTTGGAAATTATGTGAAATTAAAAGATCTGCAAAGATCCTGCAGAAAGAGAACAAGCCACCAAATCATCTCTTGTTTTCACGGCCAACTTGTTTTTCTGCACTCACCTCAAACACCTCTTGACTCAAACTCATAAAACATCTCTCCCAGCAAGCAGGACTGTTTCATAAACGCAATGACCTCGACAACAGAAATCAGTTTGGTGAATGGCATTCCTCCAGGGTAAAAGGTACATGTTTAACATGGTAGTTTTAATTTACATCTTTTTGCATTCAAGCAAATACAGTATTAATACAGTTAACAAGCCAAGTCACAATGTCAGTTTATTTTCAGCATCTGGCATTTTTGTGGCCATTTGATACCAGTCTGTTTCAGCGTGTGGGCATCCTGAATGGCCAGAACAAAACAAATCCAAAGACCTGACATCCACGCTACTTAACCTCCAGAGACAAGACAAAGAAATACAACACATCAAATATGAAGAAATCTAGCAGACCTCCTTAGTTTAAACAATGGTACAGACTGGAAGATATCTTACCAACCCTTAAACAGCTTCCTCACTGAAACAAAACAACTCGCAAGCCTGAAACTAGGAATGGTAGCAACAAAAACATATTTTTGGTAGCTTTCATCAAGTGTATTATTCATTTAATGTCAGTATGTTAATAGCTACTAAGGTTGACAGATCTTATTTTATAATAAATTAATTTCTATTTGTAATTAGGACATTAGAAATCTTTACAGCATACAGTACCAATACACCTCCATGCTCTAAAAAATAAGCACAATGAGCAAAGGTTCTAACTTTGTAACGGCTGATAAAAATCATCAGTGTGTGGAGTTTAAGTGTTGAGAAAGTACAGATCTGTGCCTCTTCTTCCATTCAACTAAACACATATCTCTAATTATATTTCCTTTACAAAGATAATAATCACTATTCATTTTACAGTATATATAAAAATCCCACCATTCACCCTGAACACCCCACAAGCTCTCCTCTTTTTATTCAGTGTGCAGCCGTTTCATGCATCCAATGGCTCTCCTTGCTACATCCAAGCTATTGTTCCTGCAACTTAGGTGGTAAATACATACAGCTTTCACTCAGGTTCCTCCTCATCTGTCAAACTCAAAAACAGTAAGTACCATTGTTTGAACTGTATAGTCATTACTATGGTCTGGTATTCAAATATTGCCAATGAACATAAGGAAGCAAGCATATCAAAGAGCGGCATATGGCACAAAACAATAAAATGGAAAGAGTCAGATGTCCACAGGACAACTTCCTCTTTCCTCGCCTCCTCTCCTGGACATTGCAAGGCTAAGGACGAGCCTCAGTTTGGTCTGGCGTGCTAAACTAAAAAAAAAAAAAAAAAAAAAAATCTTCTATAACACCAGTGACCAAAAACAAAGGCAGGTGTTCCTGTTAAAGTCAAAGATAAAAACATGAAACAAACAAAGAACACAAACGTCTTGGCACTGACAAGATGTCCGTTAGATTTAGCAAAAAAGAAAAGAAAACGGATGACGGGAAAGTATTGTCTTTCATCTGACCAACAGGGTCTGTTTTTGTTCCCTTTGACGGAAAAGAAAACCAAGCAGAGATCAAGAGACGATCCTTAGACAGTGAGTCAGTCAGTTCCTATGTTTCCACGTCCAATCCATTGTGTGAATGGAATGATGGAACCAGCGTCTGTGGCATCCGTACTCCCAGGTTCCACATTTACAGGGACCTACAGGGGGAGGGCGGGACAAAGGAAGGTAATCGAAGGGGGGGGAATAGTCGGAACGTAAATGTGGCAAGGGCTAAAAAGACACAACAAACACACTCCCACTCTTCTCCAAATAAAGACAAAAACCTGAGAAAGCAGAAATCTGAGGGGGGAAGATACAGGGCTTCTGCACTAGGGCAGCCGGAATGGAAGAGAACTGAGGATTCTGGGTAAACTGAGAGGAGGGATGGAGAGCCCAACATGGGTCGCCAGTATAATTCTGGCACCTGGGCGAGGAGGATGTCCATGGCTGTGGAGGAGGGGAAATGGGGGGGGGGGGCAGTTGAACAGAGAGCCGGCAGGAGGCGGGACCTAGAGTCCATCGTGGGTGGTCAACATGTCATCAGCTCTGCGGTGGGACTCCAAGGCTTTTGTGGTGTAGATATCCTGAGGCAACTCAGATTTGCGTCGCACCATAGGCCGCTCTTTCCGCTGGTCATGCTGTAACTGTCGGGTGGAGCGAGACAAGAGGAGAAAGTTAGACTTCATCACAACGCCTCACATTCTCATTTCCTGTCAACGTGTCATATCCTCTCTGTTCTGATCATATCTCTGAGATGAGGCAAGACAGCAGGAGAAGCAACATTTAATTTACAGAGGAATATTTATTAACAGAGGGAAACCAAGAATTACTGTGTAACTGGCTTACTGATACCTAGTTGACATGTACACAGGTATTTATTGATTATTTTGTTTTATCCTTTTGTCCAAACACAAGCAGAGGATATGGACCTTTTGTAAAAACGTTTCCAAGGTGAGGAGTGTACTTAAACTTGTCTTCAGTTGTTTTAGAAACGGTTTTTGTGTGGACAGGATTTATTTTTCTTACGATGAAGGAGGAAAAACCCTGTTCTCATAAATACCAGTGTACATATGGTCCAGACCAGAGCCAGCCATAGCTAGACAATAATATTATAACAACAAAATATAGAGGAAACTGATTTTTTTTTGGATCATTCGGTTATAAAGCCCCAAAGTGTTCAATATAAAAATAAATATGACTTATCAGATAAACTATCATATGAATACATTAAAATATCAACTATGTGAGAACCATTAAATAAATCAAGTAAAGTATTACAATTTGTTTTTATTTGGCTTAATTTATTATATCATTTATTTAGGCTTTTTTTTAAATTTCATTATGCTATTTTTACCAAAGACACATTTTTAACTACTTGTCATAATGCCAGTTTTTTTAAAATGTTTATTACATAACGCATTTCACACTGATTTTGAAAATTTGAGTTTGAATAATTGTATTATTATTATTATTATTATTACTAGTTAATTCTAATTATTAAAGGTGGGGTAGGTAAGTTTGAGAAACCGGCTCGAGATACACTTTTTGTTATATTCCATGGAATGCTCTTAACATCCCGATAGCAATGAATATCTGAAGTGCTTTGACAAAAAATCCATACAAATATTTCATCTGTGGAAGCCGTAGTACTGTAGTACTGTAAAAAGCACGACCAATCATCGGCTAAAGTAACTGGATGGCCTACCTGCCTGTCAGCTTTCCATCTGTGCACAAACTTATCTCGTGCCCTCATTGGTCATGTGCGCGTTCGTGTGTGTTGGAGGAGGGGCTCTGTGAGGAAGTAGCAGATTTCTTCCGGCTGTGTATTTTCAAATTCTAGCGCACTCGAGCTGGTTTCTCCAAAATTACCTACCCCACCTTTAATATTGTTATTTATTTCATAATTTCTATTTTATTTAGATGAAATGGAACACTTTGGGGCTCCATACTACTGAGACAACATGCAACGGGAAGCACACCATCAAATAAAAAGCTTGTGATTCCAGTGTTTAGTCCATTGCCAGCTAGTTTATGCGTTTGTATTAGAATATTAGGTTGGAAAAATGAAATTAAGAAAAAGAAACAAACGGACTACAATTCATACAGGAATTATACAGCAATGATATCCATGGAAATGTAATTTGTAGACTTTGCAAGCTTTAGCAACACACAAGCCTATCTAAAGGGATTATAGGAGGGGGGGTGAATAGAGACAGAGAGTAAGTCAGGTTTACCTGAGTCGCGCCCTCCTCAACTGTCTTTTTTAACCTCTGAACATCTTCTATCAAAGGGACATCCGTCTCCATTGCTACAGGACTATTGAGGTCAGAGGAATCAACATACATAAAGAACTATGTTGAAAAGAAAGAGAAACAAAAACAAAAACACAAAAGGATGGAGAAAGACTTTCAGTCGCATGCAAAGAACAATGAATCAAGAGGCTCTGAAGTGATTCAAAGAAGCAGATTTACTGTAGGTGAGGTTTAGAAGAAGAAAATGATTTTTAATACTGATTTATTGAAATGATGTGTTGACTTCGAAAAAGCAACTGTGTCAAAATATGTTGTGGAGCAGTAATGCTGTTACACAGATCTGTATTGTTGTACATTTTAAAAAGGAATGTACAACAATAGAAAAAGGTTTTAACATGTTGGGAAACAAGGAATAGTCTACATACAAAGAGCAGGGCTCAGTCTAACAATTACAAAAGCCATCCCCTTAAAACGCAGTGATTATAAATTACATGTTTGATCTGTACAAAAACTAAATGGTAAAAACATAAATTGCTGTTTGACAGCGGGTTTATGTGCCGGGGTATTTTTGGCCAGGCTTCAGGAAGTCTTTACTGGGTGACAATAAGACTCCGGGGAAGTTACTGCACCTAGCCAAGAAGTAGGATTAAATAGGACGGAGCCAGGCTAGTTTTTCCCCGTTGCCAGTCTTGGGATTAAGCTTTGCTAACCCACTGCGGGCTGTAACTTTAAATGTGTCAGGAGGACATGATGGTAGCAATCTTCTCATCTAAGAAAGTAAATAGGCATATTTACTAAAGCTATTCCGAAGTAATACGGTACTCTAGCGGAATTTTAAAATTCTAATTTTTGGGAGGGGACAGGGTTTGTTTAACAAAGTTACTCTTGGAATTTATCATACACTTCTTTAGAGAACATTTTAGAGCTGTTTGATTCAAGCATTCGCCACAACTAAGCACATTCTAAGACTACGGCCACTTATCAAGCTCTTTCCATCTTTAGCAGCAGTGTCATTTGGAAAAACATTAAGTCTAGTATCAACACATGAAGTCCTTAAAGGGATAGTTTGGATTTGAGGTAGGGTTGTATGCACTTCTCCCTAGTCTGTGTATTATCTACAGTCGATGGATAGCTAAGCAGGTATGGCTAAGGGCAGGGAGGCTAAGCTAACGTTTGTACTGCTGTGGAAGGGAGCACAAATGGTTTTAGGCACCTCAAAAGGCCTAAGCAACACTTTAAGTGTATGCTATAGTCATCATATTTTCCTTTTCGACAGTAGGGCAACCATACTCCCTTTAACAGTCACTTTGCAAGAAATGCTATCTTTCTGATCCCCCTACCACAGCAGAACATAGCTTAACTCCCCTACACATACTCCTGTGCTTCTCCAAACTAGGGGCATGCTGACTGCCTTTACTGTAGGTAATACACAGACTACTACCTCATACAGCCCCCATCAAACAATGTGAACTATCCATTTAATGGGATAAGATGGAAGGGGAACTAGAATTCAACAACAAAACTGGCTTACAGAAAACACAAGACACTTATTTCATAAAGATTAGTGCTACACACACTCACACACACTGGGGTAGAAAGGGGGAAAACAGGCGGGGTTAGATTATGGCACACAATGCTCACCTGTGGATTTGACTTGGCGAGGTTCTCAATCTTAATCCAAGCCTCCTCACGTTCTTTAGATTTTGCCTTCTCTCTGTTGAACAAAGCAGCAGAGCTCAGGTTATTAATCTGCTCTACTGCGCTGATAAATGTGAAACCCAGCACTCATTAAGCGCCAGTGTTCAGGCTGATTGCAATTCTGTGTCACTCAGACATTATTGTTAAAAAAGAGATTAAGTGAGAGGAGAGTCTGCGGTGCCTACTTGTTTTTCTCAGCCCTGAACTGCTGTGTGCAATCGTCGAAGAGCTTCTGATTCATCTCCATGAAGAGCTTCAGAGCGTTGTAGATGAGGCCGTGGATGGTCCTGTGAACACACACAAGAAAAAGTCAGACGGGGGTCCAACGCGAAAACACAAGCAACATTACCGTAAAGCCCAATTTTGTGCCCAGAAAAAAAATTGAAATGATTATCCGGAATTTAAAATAAATCTAAAACATGTGGTCTGACAATTGGAGAAAAGCTAGAGCACCTGAAAATGATTAACTGACAAAATGACACACAAACAATCAATGCTGATGGCAACACTTTTAATCCTATTTTATTTGTAATTTAGCAGAAATATTCAAATGTATTTTCCATCGAAGAGTCCAAAACTTTACAGATATTGAGTACACAGTGATATATAAAAGTAAGTGTGGGTTATAAATAGCATTTTGCTTCACAGATTATAAAAAACAGTTGCCGATTACTTCTCAATTAACTTTTTCAGTAATATATTAAATAAATTTGAAAGTCATTAGTTATGCATTAATCGCAGCAAACTTAAATGTATGTATAAATATGTGATTTCTATAAATTTATTTCATAAAAAATGGGATTAAAGTTGATGATAATCAGCCTTCCAATGCCTATTTTAAGTACATCTAGTGAAGTGGTTAGCTGATGTGCATGAGAGTACGCTCTGTGACCAAGCTGACATTTCTACATACACTTGAGAGTTATCAGTTATGTGATCTGTTGTGTCAGACTGGTGTTGCATGCAGTGTGAAGAACTTTGAAGGAGATAGCGTGTGTATGAACGACCAACGTTTGACATCTTACTTGTTCCAGTGGGTCTTGGAGTTGCGGTACAGAGCCGGGAACATGATGGGCAGGATCTTCGCTGCGTTGTCGCTGATCAGACTCATGATGTACTCGTTGTTCCAGTAGTAAAGAGCTCTCTCGGCCACCTACACAAAAAACCCTATTAATTTATTTCCTGAGAAAATTCTCATCAGTTACATGAAAGCGGTTTCACTTCCCTACCGAAAACTATGACTCAAATATGTCCATGACTAAGAGAAGACAATGATTATACATCATTAAACACTAACTTTGACTATCAACATGTTATCTTGTCATCAAAAAGGGACAATAACTACAATATAGATTAAAACAACTCTACCAAAAATATATTTTAAAACAATATGAAATGAGGGGGAACTATTTTTAAAAGTAGCTTTTCAGTTTTCAGTGCTAAACATGCCATATCATGACTAAAGCAGCAGCAGCAAACAATTAGAAAAGTCATGAGGACTAAGTAACTTACTTAAGTTAAAGTTAACATTAGGACTATGGAGATGAAAATGTCAACTGACTTATTGAATAAGGTAAGACTTAAAGGCCAAGACCTATTAAATTAGGTGTTTGACTATGTGTGTGTAGAGGTGTATGTGTGAGCAGGGTTGGGTTGTAACGGAATACATGTAACGGCGTTACGTAATCAGAATACAAAAATCAAGTAACTGTATTCAGCTCGCGTTACATTTGAAAAACGAGTAATCTGATTACAGTTACTTTCGTAAACCTGAAGGGAATACATTTTGGATTACTTATTGGAATTATTGGTGGAAAGATTTCCTCACAACATTTAATATTCATTATTAAAGGTACAGCCGAATCATCACAGCGATGATCCAAAAAAGGAAGCGTTTGAAAAAAAGGGGCGGGTCCGCTCAATGAAACGATAACAACGAAACATGGAGGAACAAAAGTCTGCGTTTAAATCACGCGTCTGTGTGTGTGTGTGTGTGTGTGTAGAGGTGTGTGTGGTTAAAACACATCAGCCACACCGCTCTTTAGCCTTTCTAATGATTCTGAAGGTAAACACAGTGAAGGCGGTGCGTGAAAGGCACTGCACGCTCCTCTTCTCAGAGGCTGAGTTAACCCTCCCGCTGCCTCCTGGTGCTGCAGAGATTTCATGAAGTGAAGGAGGTTTTCCTTCTATAAAACAGCTGTGGGCAGCAGATACTGTGAGTGTCACGGACATGAATTCATAGATCAAGGCAGACTGGTGCACACACTCTCCTGTTTTGCCAATCCGGTGCTTGAACAAAAATACACCCCCGGCCGAAATGTCCTTAAAATGAACACTGGCAGGACAGAAGGCGACACGCCCGTTCTAAGCCGTGTCCCTCACTCCTCACATCCCAAGCTGCATCGCCAACAAGTTTATTATGTTGTTACATCGTTTCAGATGTTATGTTTCAGTTGTGCTCTTGATAAGCCATTAAAACATTAAAAACACGTTCAGTTTCCTTTTGCTTTTTGTGTCTCCTGTTCACCAAAACATACCCATCTGTGATGGAAAAAGAAAGTAATCCAAAAGTAATCTAAAAGTAATCTGATTACGTTACTTTTTTAAGACACGTAACTGTAACTGTATTCGGATTACTTTCAGAGCCATGTATTCAGTAATCAGTAACTGATTACATTTACAAAGTAACCCTCCCAACCCTGTGTGTGAGTATGTAGGTGTGTGAGTATGTATGTGTGCATATATGTATATCAGTGTATGTATATGTATATATGTCAATCAACAGGTAAAGCAGATTCATAATAATAATAACAATAATAATGAATAATGACAATTATTGCAGATTATAGATTATAAATAAATCATTTAGGGACAAGGGGGTGAGATTAAATAAATTATACTTCTTCTCACTCCTTTTCGAACACTAGATGTGGCACTGTTTATGTTGCTAATGCTGTTGTTGTTGTAAATGTCATGTTTTTGTTTTGATTTCTCTTACATGACTATGCACTGCAACATTTGTTTTGTTTTGTAATTATTTATTTTACTTGTTCGAAATAAATGTATCAATCAATCAATTCAAATAATTAAAAACTAACGAGGACATTTGACAGAACTGAGACTCAAAGAAAACAAAAAGTACCTGGAAGTGCGGGCTGGACACACACTTGGCCAGCTGTCTGAAGAGAGGCTCCTGCACTTTGACAAACTCAGAGGGCTCGATGACGTCCAGGATCTCCTCCAGCTCGTTGAGAAACATCACCTCCTTGGGACTGTGAGTCTTTGGCCAGTACTTTAAAAGGGCCATTACCACCTATAGGGACGATAAAGACAGATAATTACAGTGATGAATAACTGAGAAGGGAGTAAAAAGTCAATCATCTGGACACTGTATTCATTTAGAAAGTCATAATGTAGTAGAAAAAGGTCAACTTCATATTTAAAGAGATTAAAGGTCCCCTATTATACTTTTTTTCATCAATATATTATAGGTCTCAGATATATACAGAACACGTTTCTGAAGTGTTTGCCTCCAAATACCAAACAGATCACCCATTGTAGCATCCCATAAACCCCTCTGTTTCAAAAGTGCTGATTCTCTGTCTGTTACTTTAGATGAAAAATAATGAGCCACGCCCCTCTGAGAGATATTTGGTTAAAAAGAACACAATGGTGCTCTCATTTTCAGACAGGTTTTTATATAAATGGATCAGGACAAAAAGTGAGCAAATCTTTTTTCCTGAAACGTTCAGAATCTCTTTACACAGAGGGGACACATGTTGATGCAGAAAAGACAGGAAAAAGTGGATGTTGCACAATAGGTGACCTTTAAACATTATTCAACCATGTTTTCATTTGACATACCGGCTCAGTTAGAGTGCTGTCCTTTTCCAAAAACTGCACCACGCAGTAGGCCAGCTGCAAACAAACAAAAACAAATCATTTAGTGTGAAAGTATTTAAATGTATGTGCAAGCAAAGTAAAGGTACGACGGACACGTAGATTCCCGAGGGACAGCCTGGGGCGGGCATCAGTCTTTTTACTACAACTTGCACAATGTCTTGTTGCTCTCATGAAAAGATCAGTGTACTCAAAGCAGGTTTGGACAAGAATATTTAAATACACTTCTAAAAAATGTGACCGGTGAATAATTGATGTGCCGTGTCTTGCTTTTCATACATATGAAAAAAAACGAACCACGCTTCTCGTAAATCACGTTGTGTTCAACAAACTCACCTGTGGATGGTAGACACTGAGTGATTTGACTTTGTGCAGAGGCAATAAAACCTTCAACAGGAAAATCTTGTGCTCTTCTTTTAGTGGTAAGGCAAATCCATTGATTATGCTGTGAGAGAAACACAAAAGTACTATCAGAACACCTGACAAGTTCCCTATTGTGAAGAAGAAGCGTTGGTGGTCATGTAAAGGCTGTATAAAAGACACAAAGACATTTCAGCTTTATATAATCGCTCAGGGCCGTACCTTCCAAGAATTTCCAGTAGTTCAGCTATACCATTATGGTGCTCCGTCTCATAGATGAACCTGTAGGAACAAACAAAACCAATGATTTATATATTGACTATCCACCTGGCTAAATATGTTTTTAAAAAAGGAGCAAAGGGAGACCTGAACTGACCTATAGAAAATGTTATTGATGTGTTTTCTGATGTACGCCCTCAGCCCCAGGAACTTTCCATAGATCCTGTGGAGGGTAGTTTTGAGGAAGTCTCTCTCTCTGGGATCCTCACTGTCAAATAGATCTAGGAGCTACATTGCAAGAGAAGTATCAAGTTAACATCATGACAGTCACTTGATATTTTTGTTTTTTCGACTGTACAGTAAAACATTTTCTTACCTGCATAACAAATTTCTGGTCGATGTATTTCTTCGCTATGTTAGGCTGAAAGTCGGGTGATTCTAGAAACCTAAGGAAAAACTCATAGACGAGCTGCAACAAAAACAAGAAAAACAACAATGAGAGGAATTCAGGCGAAATGGTGCATAAGGAACAGTGTCGGTGTTAAAACCGGTGTAGTACCAAATACACATTTAAAATCTGATACAGACAAACTTAAACTTCCCAATTTCATACTTTAGCTGTGCTGTGTTGTTATAAGAGCCTCCCAGGCTCTTATAACAACTTCTCATTGTTTTTAATAGATGATGCAATGATTTAAATGTCAACCTGGAGGTGTGGCCATGCAGCTTCAAGTGTTGGCTCGTCTTCCTCTGGATCAAACTCCGCTCCAGTGGGGTTGGACGATGGAGGCAATGTTCTGAACATGTTCACCGCAAACTGGAAGAGGAGAAGTGAAAATAGTATTGAAAATGTTTATTCCACTATTAAAAGGAAACTTCCGCTTGTTGTTTTGATAACCTGGTTAACGATGCCAATAGCTCTACCCAGAATAGGTTATGACAGATTTTCAAAAATACACTGCAAGACCTGGACTTCCTGTCAGATGTTTCCCACTCATTAATTAATGTTTCCCATCATGAGATATAAAGCAAAAGTGAAACCACATTAAAAGACTGCATACTTTCCCTTACATTTTGAAGCATTTCAGTGCATGTAGAGAGTTATGTTGTGTATGTGAAAATAAAACGTATTTTATGAATACAAATGCATTTTCACAACATTCCATACAATCAAAGTAACAGCACCATTCAGTTACTAAGGCCTACAGCACAGCCTGCACAGAAAGTTTGCTCAAAAGGTCGATTATAATGTCTTATGGAGGATTACGGCTCATTAATTCAGTTTCTATCGTTTGTGTTAAATGATCACAAACGCAGGTAAGTGCCACGTTTAATGATTTAAATAGAAAATCTGTCAATACTCTCATTGCTATTTATTTCGTTAGAGTCTGTAATCCATTTAATTAAATGTAAGTTGCGTTTGTATGTCATTTCTATTAAGGGTCCTAGTTTAGACATTCTTAAAACATTTTTTTAAAGAGGTTAAAGTTAAACGTTGTCTTTGCAACTGGCCTCCAAGGGTTTGATCCACAATAATCTAAGTGTGTTGTATTTCTGGTCTCTCGCAGTGTCAACTGACTCCCCTGTGGGCTCTGCTCCCTGGCAGGCAGATCATGGGACAGTGCAGGTGGCCTACTAAAACACTGGGAGCCTTGTTTGAAATATCTACAAGGCTACAAGATAGATAGATTAGCTGAGCTGTGCTGCACTTCAACCCAGAAGAGGCTTTGAAGATGACTTTGCAAAAACGCTGCAGTAGAAACTTTAAATGGAAAAGTCAAAACTGTGATTCTAGCAGATCTGCGGATGGCCTTGACAATACAAAGATAATAGTTTGTAGTCCAGTAAGATGCTCTTCCTTTGCCATGTTTGTATTGTTATTTATGTATCCTTGCACACCAAGGCTAAAATGGGATGAGCAGAACATCTAATCAGGATTGTTTTTGGTTTGATGGGATTTGTTGATGGTGAAGTTTAGTCATAAATGATTAATTAAAAAAAACAAAGAAAACTAAAACTATTACTTCTGCTGAAATTAAATATTTATCACAACCCTTGGACCAGAGGAGAGCCTTCCCAGGGAATTACTAGAGAAGGCAATTGTTTAAGTAATTGGTTGTTAATGCTGGATGTTGAAAAGATGACAGTGACCTGCCTGCTGGCTTAAATAAAAGTAAGCTCTGTGACGATGTACTTATGAACAGCCGAGCGTGAGCTAAATGCTAATGTCACATGCTATACCCTATATGCACTAAATGACTATGATAGCATGCTTACGTTAAGCTTGTAATACAATGTTCACATATTGGTTTAGCATGCTAGCGAGTTATCAAGTTAGAATTAGCTAATTTAACAAATTGCAGCTGATGCTAATGGCTCTGATTTAGCATGTATTTTTAAATAATAAAAGGTATTGGACAGATTTAACTGTGATGATTTCTCTAAATGAAAAGTCCAGTTCACTAATAAACAAACATTTGCATTCATTACATCTTGTAGATCATTCAAGCTTTTGCAAAAGTAAATTGCATCTGGTTTCTGTTTGGCTTTAACCCATTTAATTCTGACATTTTTTTTTTTTTTTTAAAGGTAATACTCTGAGCATATTCTCTTATTCTCTGAACAACTGAATATCATTTTTTTAGGCGACTGAATAGACACCTTAGGAAAGCTGACTTCTGCCCTAAGCAAGTAGCCCCCTCAAAACCTGATCACAACACAGCTATAAATGGACATTGGGAAGATGCCCATAAGACATTCATGCCTGTGTTGTGTCTCTGAACAGATGGCTATATTGTATGATAACACTTGATCAAAGGAAATAAAAAGTTTAAAAAAAGATCACAAACATCAGCTGGAACACCGAGCTCAGCTCCTACCCGCAGCTACAGCCTGCCCTTATTGTTGTCCCAAGTTTCACCCTCATCTTTAGCTTCAACTGCAAACTAACTTAACCCCCTCCTGGTTTACTGACCATGTGCACCACCTCCGGGTAGATGGGCTCTGTGATGACATTCCTGTTGTGGGTGATGTACTCCACCATCTCGCTCAACGCCGCCCGCTTTACTTCCTTCCATTTCAGGTCGCTCAGCGGGTCGGACAGGAAGTCAAAGAGAACGCAGCACTGCCGTAGCTTCTGGATGAAGAGCTTCTCCTGCTCTGCGGGGGCCACATCTGAGGAGACAGAGGGGGGTAAGAGAGGTTTGTAAGCTAAGAAATTAAAGAGTTCAGAGCATTAAGACGTCACAATGCTACACAGTGGTTATTGAATAAAGTGGTCGGGAATAAAGAGAGAATGGAGCCATGTACAAAGAGTGAGGGGTCAGAAAAAAAAGGAGGGGAGGTCTAACTGTCAAGGATGAGTTGAAACTAGCAATGGATAGCAAAAAGAATGAGGCATCAAGAGAGAGATGAAGGAAGGCAAATGAGTCATGAAGACTGCATGAGCGAAGGGCTTGGATGGTCAAAGCCCAGTGGGGATACAGAGAGGATGAAGGATTTGGGAACTAGGTGAATGGTCACAGTCTAGCTATTTGACACACACGCGGAGAATAAAAAAAGAAAATAATTTTTTTTATAGAAGAACCCCAGCTATTCAAGTCTGTCATTACAATTGTCCATTGTGGTTTGAGGACTTCCTCTTTTCACTTCGTTTCCACTTTTGGAGCACTCAAGAGCAGTTAAACAGCCCACACGTCACACATGACAACACAGACAGAAAACATCCATCTCGGTTTCTCTAAATTCCTACCTGCCCACGTGGTGCGCACGAAAAAGTCACATTGGACACAGCTCTTCAGCTACCCAAGTAACCGCTCATTAGAAAGCACAATTTGCTTAAATAATATCCCCATTCACTTGTTCTTCCTTTAATATGAATCTTAGCATAAGGATTGGAAATAGGGACAACCGGTTTGTTTGTTTGTCAGCAGGATTACAGGGAGTCAGTGAGTCTACTGACCCAAATATCATGAAACTGTGAGGAAATGTGTAGATTAGGGCTAAGAAAGAACCCATTACACTTTAGAGCTGATCAGGGGCGGACACAACATATTTTTGTTAACAATGTAGAATGGCGGATAGGCATTTTGTGCTGCATTCCTGTGGTGTGGTTCTTCATCAGGTTTGTGGTGGTGTATATTAAGCTGCAAATAAGGCACTTAGTTGGAATCATGCCTCAAATGTCATTCACAATAACCTCTATACTACAATTTAAAGTAGATAGTTCTCAATTAAATAACAGACAAGTGTGATAATCTCAAGTTTTTTCCCCTGATTTAAATGTATTTGACTATAAGCCCAACCAATCGCTGTAATGAAATAGGTGTGAAGCAGCTGCATGCGACACAGATAAGAGGTCTGTCCGATCAAGTGATGTACAATGGCCCAACAAACCAAAACATGAATGGGATTAGTTTGCTTAAATCATATTTATCTTTTCATTAGTGTCTCTATTTGAGTAGTTATAACTAGGGATGCTCCGATCGATCGGCCGCCGATCAATATCGGCCGATACTCACTCTCTGCTGATTGCATGACGTAAAATGATGACGTAAAATACATGACACTTTTCTCTATGCGTGGCTAAACAAGCTCGCCAAAATGGCTTCACCAGTCTGGCAGTATTTTAAGGTGTCCGAAAAAAAATGACAATAAAATAGCGGTATGCACAGAGGCGTGTGGCGCAGTGCATAGAGTTGGTGTTCGGATCAAGGGAGCACAGGATCAAACCCCACTGCAGTCAGCATGTTGTTGTGTCCCTGGGCAAGACACTTCACCCCAAATTGCTCCTGTGTGGATTGCCCACAGTATTGAGTATGTAAGTCGCTTTGGATAAAAGCGTCTAACAAGTAACATGTAATGTGACGTATGCAACGTGTGTAAAGCAGATATCCTGCAGCTCCACCCGCTGTGACGGACCAGTGAGCGGAGCAAAACACACACTAAGAGTTAGACCTAACACACTTAACACGCTATTTTATCTACCTCTGGAACAAGCTAAACTAGTTATAAATATGTGTATTCTTCACTGTCGGGTCACTCATTACTGGATCAGTGAGCTGCATGAGATACAGACAGGCTGTCAGGAGAGAGAGAGAGAGGGGGGGGGAGAGGAAAAGAGAGCGCTTCCGCTAATTTCTCCCATGTTATTATCCAAAGTTAATGTGAACTTGAATAATTTACTTTATTTGAAAGTAATAATGATGTTGGTTGTTGTTTGTGGAAGCGTCAGTGAATGAGCCCCATTAACTGAGTTTTAAACATCAATTTAAATGGAAGATCCCCATAGGCCCAGCCAGGGCTCGCCAGTAACGGTTGCCAGGTTGCCATCAGTGGCAACCAGTTTTTAACATAAAGAAATAAGGACAGCAAACAGCTAAATGTGCACCCCAAAAGAGATACATGTTAATTATTTGTTGTATTAAGAGTGATATTTAATTATTGTTGTGACCAGTCGGAACCTGATACTTAAGTTGCACGTGCATTGGTGTGATTACGGAGACAGAAAGCGATGCACGTTTACTCGCGTGCACGGTGCGCCCATGGATGTATAATAAGGGTGCGCCGTGTGTTTGTTTTACAAAAAATGGCGAAGCAAATTAAGTTGTTTGACTGGGGTAAAAAGTTCGGCCAACTAGTCAACATCTCAAACGAATGTTCAAAGTGATTCAACTGATAAAGCGTAAGGTAAACCCGAACGAAAAGCAAAGAGGAATGTTGTCCATTCACTTCCGGTAAAGGTTCCTTCAAAATAAGAGTCCCGATCTTATTACTACCAAAATAAAAGTGCAAAACGAAACTTTACCATTGAAAAAATATTGCCATAAAAATATAATCACTTCTATTAAAAGGTAACACATTTTAAATATAGTTAAGACATATTAATAAATAATTTACAGCATTTATAATTAATATCTAATTCTTAACTGTGAATGGTTTTCAATTATTTAACATTAGAAATGTATTTGTCTGGCCAATGCAAGACTTCGATCCTGAAGGGCCAATGGATCTATGGTGGGGGACAGCACAAAGGTCTGGAAAACCCACATTTGAAAGGGAGACAACGGATGACCAAGAAACTAGTGATCTGTGAAGAACATGACAACAGCTGCACTACTGGTATTTACAGCAATTGACAAGTTTACTACCACTTTAGTTTCAATTAATTACTTATTGTAAAGCATTTGAATATTCTTTTGTGTCACATGTTCATTATTAAGTTGATGAATAACTGTATAGTATCTTAATTATTTAAAATATAAGGTGACCATATTTTCGGTTTTGGCAACCACAAGCTGATGCCTGGTTGCCAGCCTGGCAACCACTTTTAAAAGTTAGTGTTGAGCCCTGCCCGCCCAGCGCACTCGGTATCGGCCGATACTGATTCCAGCGATCGGCCCCAAAATGCAATAGTATGAAGCTGCAGCGTCGGAGGCTGCAGTCTCAGGACCGCACTCCCAGGAACCTAGTTGTTTTTGCAACATCGCCACCTAGCGAATTAGATGACCGCAAAAGTACAACCAGCGAGCGAGTCTCTTTAGACATTGTAATGCTTGTTATTAACCATCTAAAAATGCATGAAAATGTGTTTTTCTTACAGAAATTAAATTATTAACAACAATTTGTTAATGTTTTATTTTTTTTAAATAACAAATGTATTTTGTATATCAGATGTAAAAAGATAGTCTTTTATATTTGTCTTATCAAATTTGACATACAACATAAATATATATACTGTAGTAATAATGATATATAATTGTAAATGTATATTAGTATATTTTGTTAAAAGAAAACTAAAATGTTAATTTAGTTTTTGGGAGAAGGGGTGGGATTAAATATGTGTAAACTCCTTCCCATGCCTTTTCGGATGTGTAATTAGGTAGAATAGATCATTTGTAAGTCAATCATATTTAGTTTATCAATTTGATACTGCTTATGTTTCTACAGTATCATAATTTCATTATTATAATTTTTTTAATATTGTATTACACGTTCGAAATAAATCAAATCAAATGTGTCTTTGAAGAGGTGCTAGATTACTCAAAAACAACTGTTAGTGTGTTTATGCACCAGGCTGCAAAAGATAAACATGCAGTTTGCCCGAGAGGCATTTCAGTGCAGAATACATTTTTATTCATTGGGCACAATTTCCACACTGTGGATCCTTCACTGGGGTGAGGCGGGGTCTGCTGTTCCCTCAGCCACCAGAAAACAGCTCCAGCATGCCGGGAAGCCCTCTTCGGAGTAAAAACCCTGTAACATTCCTCGCCGTCCACTTCCCCGGTAGCCTGTGCCAACGTCCTGATAAAGGTTGTCGCATTGAAAGCACCTGGAAATTTGGTAGGCCTTCCAGAATTCTTGTTTGTGTCCCTCTGTAAAGACATTCCAGTTGACGACACCTGAAGTAGAATGTCAAAAACAATTACAATTCAGACAGAAAAAGAACAAAACCTTCCTTCATTTAGCTGACCTTACTCTTAGTCAATCAACTTCATAATACTAGGATAGGAGAAGGCAGAAGTAAAGACACTTTATAAACATACTGTCAAGCCAGTTGGGTCTGACACGACAGATTCTAACCTACAGAATAGGCCGACATAAAACACTTCATGCAATATTACAAAACATGTCAAAAATGATGAGACTGTCTGATAAACAGTAAACAGGCAGTTAGCACAGTTAAGATTATGTACAATGAATTCAAATAGTAATACAATGACTATTAAAGAAGCATTTACACTGAAGACAGAACTTAGGCTACTGCTGATTTAATGTAGCAGACAGAGATCATATTGAAATGCTTTTGTCATCCTTTGAAGTTTAATTAATTAGCTGACTATAATTAATGATCAGGGTTGGGAAGTTTACTTTCTTTAAATGTAGTAGGTTACAGATGACTAATTACCCTGTTAAAAATGTAATAAGTAATGTAACTGACTATGTAACTATTTGTATTGATATTCTAATGTTAATTATGGTTATTAGGAATTATGACGTCATCCCGATAAAAGTATTAATAGCCCCAATAATATACAATATATTTTTTGGGTAAAAAAAAGAAAAAATACTGCGGTGTGGGTGGATTGGGATGAGGGGCGCTTGTTTTTCACTCGGCTCCTCCCGTTTTGCCAGTACTGTGGTATTAGTGGTTTAGGAAGAGGGGAGTTTTTCAC